ACGTTCATCAGTCCCTTAATGTTACTGATTTCCAGGTTCCCATCTTGCTCGTACCCACAGAGTTGCTTCTGAGCGAGGGTCTTCCAGCTTGTGACAGAATTCATGTTTTGCTAATGAGTACAGATGAAGAGGCTGCGAGTGGAAGTCGCATCTAGTTTTAGGATGAGATCCACAGTCTAATTTTAGGAAGTCCTTCATCTTACAGATAGATGGCCTGAGGCCTACGGAGGGTCAAATTCGGTCCAGCCCCATTGCCACTACTGGCCAAGCCAGTGGATGTATATGCTTTGTCTAGAAAGTTCCTAGGCCAAGCCAAGGAAGTAGTGAGGATTTCCAGGTATGGCTCTGCTAAAAATAAAAAATTGGCTGGTGAAAAGGAGGTATTGCAAAGTAAGTAGATTGGGGAGTACTTATTTGTTTAAAACTTACCTCGTGATTTTTTTAAAAATCTCCTTTAAAGAATATAGTTTTTACATATGCTCAGATAAACCACATTTACTAATTAAGTAACTTATGAAGAGTGTCAAGAAAAGATTAACTGGCTTTAAAGCCTTAGCTCAGCAGAAGTTAAAATGGATAAGAAGCTGGAAGATACGAGGGGTCTTCAAAAAGTTCATGGAAAGATTCATATTATCTTTTCTATCTTTCCACAAACTTTTTGAAGTACCTCGTATTCATGAGATGGGAAGAAAGCCAGGTTTCTTCTCAAAATCAGAAAAAAAGAAGCCAATTACAAACGGTAGAATAAACAAAAATATCTTATAAAAATGTCATAGCCCAAGTATGAAGCCAACTAAAATATAGCATGATTTTGAGAAATTCATGAAGTAAGTAAGGGTATTCCATTTGTGACATTCTCCCTAAGTGACACGGGTGTCAAGGTACTGGATCTGCAGAGGAAGAAACTGGCCCGTTGCAGTTTACGATATTTCCATAATCATGATATCTGGAGTGCTGTTGATTGGCTTTTCAGCTTTTAGAATCTACTTATAGATAAAGCTGGGAAGACAAATATGTTTACAGAGCCAGAATGGAAATGCAGTCAGTCTCAACAGTGCACAAGCAAAGTGCGTGGAGGTTGAGAGGTGGAACTGGGGAGGAAAGGCAGGGAGTGTGGAGGGGACACTCGTGCTCTTGTCTGCAGTGACAGGTCCAGGTGCTGGCCAGCCCTGATGAATGAGTGACCTGCGGTTTGCAGTCTGTTACTTCAGTTACAAATTTGGGTAACCAATACAATAAGAATATAGCTATGAAAAATTGGAAAGACTGGAAAGGGGAGGGAAAGTAGTATAAGTCAAGTAGTAACTTTTCAGGATGAACAATCTAAAGAAATAGCAGTATTAGGTACATTAGACATAAGATAATTACCAGAACTACAGACAGAAGTGGTTAAAAGTGTAACCTCTGGGAAGTGGTACTGGAAGTGAGTAGAGGCAAGGCAGAGACACAGATTTAATGTCGTATGAGCAATTGCTTTGGTAAAAAGAAATGAGAAAAAAAGTTGAATTGCCCAGCAACAAAATTTGTTCAAAGGAGCTACACAACAATCAGATAGCCCAGTGCGTTCTAGTTGTTGCGTTTTTGAAATCTTAAGCAGATATTCTTGACTGATGGTGAAATGCTACTTGTAATTGCAGATATTTAATTACCTACATGTTAAAATATAGCCTGTATGCATTTAAAATCTTTCTAAATTTCCCCCTGGGCAGGAGGTAAAAATAGCTCAACTCTGGTATAGACATTTGATTGCCATTTTTGTTAAGAGAGATCTTGGATTTTTTTTTTTTAAGGTTAAAAAAAAATGAACTATTGTGAGGTTCTTCTAAAAGATTCAAGATCCTTGGAATAATCTATTTAATACAACTCTATTTAATAGAACTCTATTTAATACAACAGTTGAGCTCTTTCCTTGTGCAAAATTTTCACTTATGTTTTCCACATAAAAACACACCTCTGATTTTATAATGCTGCTACTGGAACATAACATTTATCATACATTAGCTTTGGACACATCCATATCCATGGTCCAAGTAACCACACCCTGCAGGGATCCAGGATCACACCCCACAAGTTTGTGTAGGTGTGGTACTCCCAAGCCACTGACCAGTATGTGGACACTGGGGGGTCCAGGATGCTGCCTTGCAAAGCCATGTATCTGGGGTGCCATCCTGTGGTTGTGATGCTAAGTTCAAGCATGTTTTCATTTTTTTCTTTCTAGGAAGGCTCTTTTGTCTACTTGATGTTAGTAGGAAACATTGAAGATTCTGATGGCTTGATTGCTTCTCTGTGTAAGTAATTTAAAATGTATTCGAAATGTTTGAGATGAACTGCAAACATGGCTGTTCATTAAATGAATGCCCGTATCACATATTGTATGATTCTATTTTTTTTTTTTTCCTTTTTGTCTTTTTTTTTTCGTGACCGGCAACGGATCGCAACCCTCAGTGTCGCGCCCGTACCGAACCGGGACCAGCAATGGGATCGCAACCCTTGGTGTTGCGCCCCGCCCCCCCCTCAGCCGGTGGGCGGCTGGTCTGTATGTGGGATCCGACCCCTCGGCGGGAGCGCCGCCGCGCTTCCCAAGCGGCGCACTGTAGCAGTGCGCCACCAGGCCGGCCCTGTATGATTCTATTTATATGAAATGTCCAGAACAGGAGAATCTGTAGTGATAGCTAATAGATTAGTGGTTGCCCAGGGCTGGGGGTGGAGATAGGGGTGTTGGGGGAAAATGGGGAGTGACTTCTAATGGGTACAGGTTTCTTTTTTAGGGTCATGAAATGTTCTAAAATTAGATTATGGTGAGTCAAATCCGTGAGTATACTAAAACCTATTCTTTAAACAGGTGAGTTGTATGATATGTGAATTACATCTCAGTAAAGCTGTATATCCTTACTGGCCAGCTGCCAAAAA